ACTGTATTCTATAAAAAGATGGGAGCAGAGCCGGCCCTACCATAGGGCAAACGGAGCAGCCGCTCCAGGCGCTAAGTCCTAGGGGGCGCCTCAGTGGTAAAAAATTAAAGAAAAAAATATTTTTTTCACTTTTCGATATTTTAATTGCAAGCGTGTGGCCAGTATGTGAATGACCTTATCTGTTGAGATGCGTGTGGGTCGAGTGCGTGGGCAAGATTCCACCCCCGGCGCCATAATAGGATTTTGCTCCATCCTAAAACTTGACTCGGGCCGGCACTGGATGGGAGAGTAATACATTATCACAAATGTAAACACAACTGTATTCAATTAAAATCTGCGTATTTTTTGATTAACCTCACAAATGATGATCAAATGCCACAGTAAACCATAAGATAATTAATATTTTCATAAACTATTTACAAAACCCCATAACAAAAGTATTTAGTAAAAATATATTGGAATAAATATTGTTAAAAATACAATTACAGAGTATGCAATAAATTATATTCGGATACAGACAGTCTTCAGGTATTACACATCAAAATGAAACAGTTTGTTTATTGATATTCATTATAAAAAAATTAACAAACTAACAAAATTTTATTTTTTAAAAGCTGCTTTTATAAAGTATCAAAAGACAGTTAAACAGAAAAAAAATATGATAACTGGCACACTAAATTATTTTACTGTTTTTATACCAGATAATTTATTTTTTACATAATGCAAATATCCTATATACAATCTATCTGAAATAACAAAGAATTTGATATATTTATATATGTATATAAACTTATCAAATTCCCTTATATATCACTTCTAACAGATTACTTTTTTATTAAATAATTATAATAAAAAAAAACTCGGTATTTGTAAATATTTAAAAATATATAAGCTTAATGTAGCTGTTTTCATTGATTTAAGATGCTGATATCAGTACGTAATAATTATAACCATTAAAAAATATTTACTTTTTTTATATTAGGATATAAATTAAAAAATTAATTCAGTCAATTCCATATACATTATAGCATATACAAAAATATTTTATACTAGAAATCACTACACAATTTACTTTTTTACGTTTGAATAAAGATATTCATTGATTATTTTCATTTTAAACAGCTTATTTGTATCTGTTATTATATCAAATATACCTTGACTTAAAATGTTATTGATTTACATAGCTTAGTGAAATATTTAAAATTCTACTTCATTTTATCATCGTGAACTTTAACATATAACATAACTTGAACATTTAACATTGTACATATAGTATAACTTTAACATTGAACACTTTTAACCATTTTTGATATTTTAATAATAAAGACGCAGCAAAGTCCATGTCTTTACAAACATATCTAGGATTATTATTGTGTGTGTGTGTGTGTGAATGTCTGTTAGAATGTGGAATTCATTAATCGAATCCAAAAAATAGCAATGAAATTAATAAAATTATATATAAAAATAGAAATTTTAAGGTAAACTTAATCAATATTCTCGTCTATTAATGCTTATATTTTGTTACAAATTATGTCACTAAATAACAAATAACAGCACAAATTTAATGAACATATATTTTACTAGATTTTCTTGATAAGCTTATATAATATGGATAATTATAGTTAATTAAGAAGTAATTTAAATTTTATATTTAAAATTTCTTAATGTATAATGTATAACAACTATAAATAGAAGCTTTTAATTAATGTGACAAAATCAGATAAAAACAGAAATCTATTAGGTAACATAATATACATTGAAGTGGAAACTTTTGTTCTACCACATATTTACATTTATATTAAAAACAACTGAAGAAAATGTGCAAAGGTTTTAAATAAATGAATAATTCACTGACTTGAAAATAATATTTAAAAAAAACAACTGCTAAAACAATGCCAAATATTGCTTATTTAAATCTTAATTCGCAAAGAAAATAAAATTTATTTGATCTCATTTAATAACTCCTCATTTATTTCAAAAAATAAATACATATATAAATAATAAGGGAGCTAATTTGGTAAAGCTGTTGTATGTATGAGCAGCAAATGGAATTGGAAAACTCATGTTTATTGATGAGACTAAAACATTACATAAAACATGTCTTTACTTCTGCCACTAAGTTAGGACAAGAATTTCTGTCTCCAAACACAACAATGAACCAACACATATTGCTACAATAGTAAACAAATCTCAGAATATTATCACTTTGAATTGGTGTGCTCAGTCACCAGATCTAACTCCCTTTGAATGTCTATGGGAGGAAATAAAAAGAAAACTATCCAACAGTCATAAAAAAAAAACAAAANGGTATTACACATCAAAATGAAACAGTTTGTTTATTGATATTCATTATAAAAAAATTAACAAACTAACAAAATTTTATTTTTTAAAAGCTGCTTTTATAAAGTATCAAAAGACAGTTAAACAGAAAAAAAATATGATAACTGGCACACTAAATTATTTTACTGTTTTTATACCAGATAATTTATTTTTTACATAATGCAAATATCCTATATACAATCTATCTGAAATAACAAAGAATTTGATATATTTATATATGTATATAAACTTATCAAATTCCCTTATATATCACTTCTAACAGATTACTTTTTTATTAAATAATTATAATAAAAAAAAACTCGGTATTTGTAAATATTTAAAAATATATAAGCTTAATGTAGCTGTTTTCATTGATTTAAGATGCTGATATCAGTACGTAATAATTATAACCATTAAAAAATATTTACTTTTTTTATATTAGGATATAAATTAAAAAATTAATTCAGTCAATTCCATATACATTATAGCATATACAAAAATATTTTATACTAGAAATCACTACACAATTTACTTTTTTACGTTTGAATAAAGATATTCATTGATTATTTTCATTTTAAACAGCTTATTTGTATCTGTTATTATATCAAATATACCTTGACTTAAAATGTTATTGATTTACATAGCTTAGTGAAATATTTAAAATTCTACTTCATTTTATCATCGTGAACTTTAACATATAACATAACTTGAACATTTAACATTGTACATATAGTATAACTTTAACATTGAACACTTTTAACCATTTTTGATATTTTAATAATAAAGACGCAGCAAAGTCCATGTCTTTACAAACATATCTAGGATTATTATTGTGTGTGTGTGTGTGTGAATGTCTGTTAGAATGTGGAATTCATTAATCGAATCCAAAAAATAGCAATGAAATTAATAAAATTATATATAAAAATAGAAATTTTAAGGTAAACTTAATCAATATTCTCGTCTATTAATGCTTATATTTTGTTACAAATTATGTCACTAAATAACAAATAACAGCACAAATTTAATGAACATATATTTTACTAGATTTTCTTGATAAGCTTATATAATATGGATAATTATAGTTAATTAAGAAGTAATTTAAATTTTATATTTAAAATTTCTTAATGTATAATGTATAACAACTATAAATAGAAGCTTTTAATTAATGTGACAAAATCAGATAAAAACAGAAATCTATTAGGTAACATAATATACATTGAAGTGGAAACTTTTGTTCTACCACATATTTACATTTATATTAAAAACAACTGAAGAAAATGTGCAAAGGTTTTAAATAAATGAATAATTCACTGACTTGAAAATAATATTTAAAAAAAACAACTGCTAAAACAATGCCAAATATTGCTTATTTAAATCTTAATTCGCAAAGAAAATAAAATTTATTTGATCTCATTTAATAACTCCTCATTTATTTCAAAAAATAAATACATATATAAATAATAAGTTTGTGCCAGAACTAAGTGTTGATATTTTAATCTATAAAAAAAATTTTAATGACTAATACCTATTTAAAAAGTTCAGCTGTTTCTTCAAAAACAAAAATTAACATTCATTTCAATATAAAAATAAAAATAATTTGAAAACAGAAAAAGCAGTATTTTAATTTTAAACGTTTTCCTATAATTGATTAACTGATTGATTGATTAAACTAAATTCTATAAAATCAGTGATAAATGTTAAATCATATCTAACTATTAAATAAGATTTGAAAGCAAATGACTAAGATAGGACATAACATTTAATAAATTTTTAAGAATTTTCAATTAACACTTTTAATCTTTTTGATTTAAATCTTATAAAATGCTGATTTAATATGTAATAACATCAAAATTATGAAAACTAGAAGGAAACATATGTGAATATAAAGATATACATTTAGAAATCGAAATAGTTCTTAGATAAATTAAAAATTAATCTCATTGTATAGGTTTATTTACGATAAAAAGATATTCATAATCCAACTTTTTTCTGTTAAATCAATACTGTATGTATTCATTGTTATTACTACATTCTGTTTATTATAAATATTTGGCTATTTTGAATATATACTAAAATAAACATAATTATAATGCTTTTAAACTTAATCCTCAAATAAGAAAACATTCTCTTGAATATCTATCATTGATTCTTACTTAAACCCTTAAACCAGTTTGAAATTCAAATAAAAGCTAACTTTCATCCTATTGTTTTTACTGATAAAGAATCCTATTAAAAACTATGCTACATATAGTATACACTTTACTACATACATAATGTATACTACATGCATACACAACATAAACACAGTAAAACCTAAAATCATTTTAATATTTACATTTATTAAAACAATATGGATTGAATTCCTCTATTATTATTTAAACAGATGAATTATTAATGGAAGAATTCTTGAATTTTTAAAAATTCAAGAAATCTCATATCATATTACTCTTTTTCTACAAATAATAATTTAGAAATCCAACACAAGAATCCATTATTATTTTGAATTTAAAATACAATACGAAACGAACGTTTACGTGTAAAAGAATAAACATGTGTTTGTCTGTACGTAAGTAACGAATTGAAATATTTAAAAATTTCACGATTTTAAATTTCATTTTAATGTCTATATATCGTTAAGCCTCGAGTTAGGTGTAACTCTTTAGGTTACATTTATAACTTACCAAAATCCTCTTGAAAAGAGCATTTTCTTTTGGTGGTAAAGGTTGGCTAGGGGACATAATGAAACTAATTTTATACAATTTAATTAATTTAGTACAAATTCCCTTTTGTACACGCTTCTCTATCAACCTCGTGGTTGATGTCCAATATGGCGGCAGTCGTTGCTTTTAATCCCGCATTTATAGTATATACAACGTTTTATTAGCCTAAAATCGTATTATAAAGAATTTAATAAAATAAATAAAATTAAGAAAATAAACAAAAAATAATTTCTTTTTATATATTTGTAAGTTGTTTACGTTAATATTTATACGAATAAAAATTAAATTGTTATTTATTCCATAGTTCATCGAACTTGTATATATCATCATAAATTAAACAGGATAATAAAGTTTAAAATATAAAATTGTTATTTAAGTAAATAAAATATTATTTAATATTTTAAATAAAAGTATTTTATTTGAAATCCACTTTTTAAGAAAATTAATTTTTTTTAAATCTTAACTAATTTTTTTTTCTAAAAAGCCATTTTGGGTTAAAACTTCATAGGTTATTCAATAAAATTTTTTAAAAATTATTATTATTATTTTAAAATTCAAATATAATCAAAATATTTAATCTATAAAATAAGAAAAAAAAATCTTGCACAGGGGGCGCCATTAGACAAGACAAGAATTTGAAAAGAATTTTAGTGCCGACCAACGAGATAGATTGATAGGTTGCGCCCTTAGATACAGCGCTCTTAGTGGCAACTACGGGTACTATCGACCGCCATTTTATTTTAAGTCAAAAGCATTGACGTCTATACCATGTGTTGGGCAGTAGAATTTATTTTTCTCATCTAAATCTAGTTTGTTTTATTTCCTCGAGATTTAAAATTTTGGCAATTAGATAAGTGATATAAATCTAGATTGTTTCATCTCGAATTTATCTATTTTCTAGATTTTAATTGATTATTATAAAGAAGATACGATCAGAGTTTAAACTGCTAAGTGTAGTTAAAATCTTTCTAAGAGTTAATAGAGAGTTAAACAAATATATTTTAATATATTTGTTTAACATTGTTTACATTTAAAATTTTATACATTTTATTTTAACAAATAATAAAAGTAATAAAGACAATTGTGTTTCCTTTTTCTTCTTAACTTTCATTCTACGAGTACGAAGAGCTTTTAACATTAAAAAAAATTCAGACTGCCGGAAGGCCGAGTGGTCATGGTGGCAGCGCTCTGGGGAACCCGGGTTTAAATCCGGACGGGTTGATAAATCCCCAGGAATTTTCGGGGGGTGGTCTGTTCGAATATGTCGGGCCCCATCTCTCACCACCCGGTCGACTCATTGCGGGCCTGGCCGAGCTCATAATGGGCTTGCTAAAAGAGGCCTTCTTTGTGCCTTTAGGGCGGAAAGAGTATAAAAACGTCCGTAGCAAAACCACCAGTAGCAAAACGACCACCGAAAGTCCGAAATGGTTAAGGTGTCAGCTATTAAATTCGAGGAATAAACCCAGCGAAAGAAAATTCTGCCTAAAGGCCTTTGAGCAACAAAAGTCTATGCACCTTACGTGCATGCTGGTCGACCCTCCATAATGCAGATAGTTGGTCATATATCCTACAAAGTGCTACGTCATTGCCGGATTAAAGGGCGGTCTGATTTATCATAACATATTTGCCATCGGCAATGACGAATGAGAGATTAAATTCTTTAGTCTCGTTATCTATTGAAAATGCCTTTGTTCAGAAAACAAACATTGGCCAATGAATAAAAGCTTTCACAGATTTGAAATGAATAAAAAATATATCTAACTTATAACTGATTAAATTAAAAAAATACAGTTTAAAATCGATAATTTTTGTTTGTAACCATTTTTTGTGTTTGTTATGTGAGCTAATAAAAAAATTAAATTAAGAATTTTGTAGTTATGAAATTAATAATAATTTGGAAAAATACTTATTGGACAGCAATTTTCAAATTGGATCGATGTCGTACGTCTGTCGGTCTGTCTCTCTGTCTTTTCTTACTCGTTCGGGAATCGCACGTGGAGTCTGCCCTGGTCGCGAAATTATCTTGGTCTGGTACTAGTAGCTAGGGCCTCGTATTAATCAAATAATCAATATTAACTGAACTAACAGTTTAGTTAAGATAATGTTGATTAATTCCTCCTATTCCGATACCAGAACGTGAAGCTTTCATAACACTGTTTATAATAGCGGTGACGTATTTAACAAATAAAAAAAAAGGAAGTAACTTGCCACAACTAAGCGATCAATGGCTGTTGCTTATTGGTTAATACCCCCCAAGTTGTTTCTTTCAATAGAAAGACTAAGTTAATCTATGAATTGTCCTTCATTTGTGGGCAGTTACCCAGCACTGAGATCTGAAAGGTCCATTATGCCTAGGTCGATCGGAAGCTGAGAGGTTCCTGCCCGAAATCCAGGAAGGCAATTGCAGTCTCTTCCATTGTATCCATGAGCCGTTACTAGTATCGTAACTAGGGGGTCATAGTCCCCTATATTTGTAAATAACTTAATTTAATTAATAAAAAAAACTCAATAAGTACAGAAAAACATTCGAATACGACAAACGAACTTATACACATGTATATACAATGTCTAAGAGTTTACTTTTCATCCATAGCGCTAGTGGCTACATCAACATTGGTACAGTGGTGAATATAGGTTTGCACATTTTCACTACGCTACTAGCCACCACATAATGCAGGATCACGTGGGAAAAGCAGCTTAATTTTCAGTTGAAATTCCGGAAACCATCATCTACCGTGGAAAATCCAGGCAGTCGTAGGCCGGACCCGATCCCGGACTTCTCATAGAAACAAGCAGAAGCCAAGTCTATCCAACATTTTTGAAATATCTGGCAAGCTTGGGATCGGAAGTGATCTAGTTTTTTGGACACAAGATAAATATGTACAGTACTTAAAATATAAAACAATGGAGAGTAAAACCGAAACATATGCCAACAATTACACTGAAACTGGCGTCGTGCGAGGCATACACCGTGAAAATTAAAAGAAAGCGACCGCGCAACGAACTACAGCCCAATAATATTTATTATTGAGTTGTATTTGACGGTCGCCCCATTGTGGGCTTGACCGAACCTATAATGGCTTGCTAAAACAGAGGTCCTCTTAGTGCCCACAGGGCAGAAAGAGTTTTAAAAAAATTACAACGTGTTGTAGTAAGATACGAAAAAATGCTCTTCCTCTTAATCTTTGGCTGTTTACAACTCATTCCACATTCTGAAAATATTTTTTCTGGTCGAGCAGCTTTTCAAAGGAACTTGTAAACGTAAGTTTAACCATTGTTTTATTAGACTTCTTGAGTAGATTAACGTTACACCAACGGCTCACCGGTGGCCAAGTGGTCTTCGTTTCCTGAACACTTGGGAATTCGGTCTTGAGTTCTCGCCTCGCTTGGAGGACTAGCCACGTGGAGTTTTCCATGTTTTATCCACGGGAACTGGCCTAAATAGGGGTCAATTTCCTTTAAAAAGACCTCATGGAAGGTATCCCCCTTTAGGCAGATCGCTCAAGTGTTGTGATGCCATAATTAAACAAACGTTGCGCGAACATTTCTTCTAACATCTATCGATATTTAATGTAAATTTTATTAGCTTTTCATTTAGTTGATCGTGGTTTGTATTTGGTAGAATTTTAAGTATAAGAAAAACATCGTCTGTTCTTGTTAAATTTTTGTATTTGTACAACGTATTCAAACAAATAAATAACTTTATTGCACAAGACGATCCTAGAAAATACCCAATATGCCATTTTTTTAAAAACTCTCTCTGTCCTATGGGCACTAAGAGAACTATTTTAGTAAGCCCATTATGGGTTCGGCCAGGCCCACGATGGGCAGGCCAATGGTGAGGAATGGAACCTGACAAACCACCCCCAAACATTTCAGGGATCCGTCCGGAATTCTGTGTTGAGTTTTAGATGTTTAATTTTTTCTCGCTAATTAAATAAAATAAACCACTGTGCAATGGAATAATTTCATTTTTATTCTTTCAATTAAAAATAGCATTACTACATTGGACTTTTAAAATAAATGTTTCATTTATTACCATTTATAATTATTTCCTTTCTACTTTTGTTAAGAGATCTCCTGCGTGCCACGAATCCAATTTGTTCTTAAGAGGAGGATGTTTCTGCTTTGCCACCTTGGGGGGCATACTTTATATAGAAACTTCATTCAGTTTGAAAATTTTATGACTGTTTATGTAAATTATTTTAGTTTGTAATAATTATCATTAAAAATTAAATGCGAAACTTTCTCTGGTAAAATTACAACTGAAGTACTTATGGCAAGTAATAAAAGCATAAACATGCAGCTCTGGAGGATTCGAGTTTAGATAAGAGTTCTAGAAATTTCTAGAAGTTTGGTAGGGATATGTTCTTCGCCATTTCATTGTGGGCTTGACCTAATAGGTCTAAATGAAGATTTGGATTGATGGAATAAGGCAAAGCAACACGTGGGTGCAATAAGGACGTAAAGATAGCTTATTGTTTTGGTTAAGGAGGTCCTTTTCTCTTCCCTGAATACGCCTGTTATTCTGGGTATTTTATTCTCAAGTTACGCGAGTAGCAACGCGAATGTTTGAGAGTGTCACATGATCTCCTCAATACGTTCGTGTTACTTACTACTCGCGTAACTCGAGACTATACACTTTGATACTTTTTGAAAGTCATGAGGAAGGATCACTTTTCGTTCCGACATGAAGAATGAGACATTTTTCTGTTCTACTACATCACTACGACATTTAATTTCTTGGTTTTATTTCTCTAAAGCGATACACCCAGGTGCAGTAGGACCTATTCTTTAGACGTGGCTCCGATTTATTGTTCATTCATACAGTGAATTGACTAATTCATTATTATTAATTTTTATCCATTTTTCCTTCTATAATCAGGAATAATTAATGGCCGCGTCTAATGTTTTATACTATTAATTAATGAATTCGATTCCAAGCAATTGGATACGCTTTCCAGTTTCATTCAAATACGAGGATGCGAGCTTCAAAAATGTACAGAATAATATATTATATTTAATGATAAACCAACTATTTTATGATTCCTTTTTCCAACTGAATCAATAAATAAATGCACATTTGACAGAGCAAATGACACAACACAGTTTAGATTTTTAGGTTACAAAATTTGTGTAACAAATGTTCAATCAGATAGAAAATTGAAGAGGCTGCAAATTAATTCTCAATGAAGGTCAGCAATTCATACAGTGACAGCATTAGAGGAAGATCCAAAAGTATTCAAAGAGGGATTTTATTTTTTGTGTCAATGGGAAGGGCTTAAATTTACCTCTAGCCCCCCCGTGGATCCGCTCCTGGGTGGCAGCATGGAAGCGTGAAGTACTTCCATCAAGAGAACCGGGATTTAAAATTCCTCGGGGCTGATTCTGCTCTGCTTCTTTCTTACAATTTTTCTTATTAATTCTAAAATAGAAGAAGAGTTAAACAAAAATTGTAAAGGATTGAGTTAATTTCTATTTGCTGTGTTTTACGGGAAAGAAAAAAGAAGTTTTGATTTAATTTATGTAGTTTACAATTAGCCGGTCGAATGAAAACAATGGCTGAAATTACAAAGGGTAAACTTTGTTTCGGTGGTTGTTACGATGTAGGTAGATGCTTAGTGAGTGGATAATTCAATTGTGCTAATTACTGTGTTTATTCAAGCGAAATAGCTGAATTGTAGAATTAAATAGAAGACGCTTTACTGCATACACAATTGACAGTTGTACTTTAACTCTTGATCCTTGGTTGAGTAGCCTATACTGCCATTAGAGATTTTAATTTAAAAAAAAATTTACTTGAGTAAATCAAATTTAAATTAAATTATAAAATACAGGGTTTTCGAAAGTCATGTAAACCATGGGAAAACAGTTTAATCATTTAATGCTCGTTCTCTATTTCAGGTATTATTGATACCTGAATGCCCACAGATCTTTAACTCTGAGGAGACTCAAGTAAAACGATCTGTTCGACTTGAGCCCACTTGACTTTTTCGTGGATCAGCCTACTTGAAGGGTAATAACAATCATACTCACTCACTTACCCAATTTCAGGGTAACACTTAGAGCATTGTGAATGACATATCCGTGAAGACCTTGAAGAACGTTTAACACCCAAATAGGGGCGAGTTTCTCATAAAAAGTCCTACCGGGTGGCATCCCTCTCGGCAGATCTCCCACGTGTCGCGTTTACCGATGGTTCCCAACTTTTTTTTTGGTCATGTCCCACATAAGCATCCATAAAATCCTGATGCCCCCTGTGACAAGATTCTTCAATAATAATAAACGTATTCTCACACTAAATACTTTTTTTTACTTTATTTTAAGATTGCCAGACTTATCGATGTACAATGGAGTCTCAAGCCACTTAACTTGCTCCAAGTAACAATGGAAAAGTAAGGAGTAAAAGTTATCTAAACAGAAAGAAGACAGTGTGGAAAGAGAGAAATTTAAAAGACATCCTTAGCTTAATTTATGAATAATAAATTGGAAACCAGGACCGTATACAAACAAACAAAGGTTATTTCAAACGTCGAGAATTGTCACTACCTTTTCGAGGCCCTACTAAAATTAGAAAAAGAAACTTTACAATGGAACGGATATGTATAACAAGTGCTTTTTGGGCCGACGTAAATATGAGGCCTGGACCAAATGACCCTGTTACTTAGGCCGTGCTTCTAGTAACACATGTAAGTCTCCATTTTTCACGATATATAAATCTACTGAGACTTCTACAGTACTATTTACAGCAATAAAATACGGTAAACACGAGAAAAGTAAATAAGGATATTAAACAATTACGACACTTAACGATTTTATAGGAGAAATTTTGAAATGCTGTATTTATAACGAGAATGAAAGTGGAGCGCTTCACAAGGTATGTATACTTATTTCTGACCTCGATTCAAATTTTAAAACTTCCGGAAGTGATATTTATGCGCTAATTTCATCGATAATGATTGAGAATTTTTAATGAACTTTGATTAAAATTATCATAAAAATGCGTTATATAAATACACTTGACCCCCCTATAACACTGTTGATAATTCCGTTTTATATGAATTCCATGTTGTACGAGTCACTTAGATTTTACAAATACGTAAGCCGTTCACAGTTCGGCACACATATTTGTAAAATCTAAGTGACTCGTACAACATGGAATTCATATAAAACGGAATTATCAACAGTGTTATAGGGGGGTCAAGTGTATTTATATAACGCATTTTTATGATAATTTTAATCAAAGTTCATTAAAAATTCTCAATCATTATCGATGAAATTAGCGCATAAATATCACTTCCGGAAGTTTTAAAATTTGAATCGAGGTCAGAAATAAGTATACATACCTTGTGAAGCGCTCCACTTTCATTCTCGTTATAAATACAGCATTTCAAAATTTCTCCTATAAAATCGTTAAGTGTCGTAATTGTTTAATATCCTTATTTACTTTTCTCGTGTTTACCGTATTTTATTGCTGTAAATAGTACTGTAGAAGTCTCAGTANTATAATAAGACGGTAATCGTTATTATACACCTTCAAACATGGTTACAATATGCTATCTTCAAGTACACATAATCTGGTTATTGTAGTGTCTTACAATCTACTCAGCAAACAGGTGAATTGGTTATTGTCTTATATTTTACTGTCAAGCCCCTATTCGTATGATTATAGTCATGTATTACGCACACCAGGTTCTTGTGTGATTATAGTTATATATTATTCCATCAAAATACAGGTTATTTGGTTATCTAGTTACCAGGTTAAAGATTTTTCTAGAAATAAATTGTTGTTTTGTGTGTTATCAGAATATATCTTACATTATTTTATTGTTCTCATGAACATACAGTATCATTAAGATATTACTGATTATTATAATAAATACATCATCGATATTAAGGGTCCATCAATGGTATTTGAATGCCATTTGCTAAATGGCGTGGAATTTACCGGATTTTCTCACGTGTCTAATACCTAAATAGGAGCCAGTTCCCGTAGAAAGTCCTGCTGGGTGACACCCCCTTTGCAAATCGCTAGTGTCTCACAAAGGGAGGAGACAAAAGGAACAAATTGAAAAGGGTATTCTATAAGGTCCACGTTATCCTCTGAGCGGCCCTGCAGATTCGCTCATAGTTGCGTACGAAAATTAAAATCCACTTACAAACTCAACGTGACTCATTTCACATTTAAAATAATTAAAATTATTACAGATAAAATTATAATTAACAGCAATTAATAAATTATTAGCAATAAGAGTAATAATTATTTAACAAAAGCAATTAATTAACAATTAATTACATAATTAGTTATTGTTTAATGCCCTTTAAATGCATGAAATTTGTATAAATTAAACATTTTAATTCATTTTTCTCTTATGCCTTTTGTAATAAGAGCCTTAGAGAACTGAGATGGGCCTGCCTAGTCACAAATGTGGGGCCTCATCTCCTCTGAAAAGCATAAAATTATGTGGATATAATCAACAAATAGCAAAAGAAATTTCAATTTATATAATATAACTTCACATAAGGACTAAATTTTGGGTTGTTTTGTGTTTAGGGCCTTGTCTAAGTGACCATACTTCCCACTATCTGATTATAAAGAGTCCTTCAATATAATTTTAGCTCATTTAAGAATAATTAAGGTAAAAACTTGCGATAATAATTGGTGTATGCCCTTCTTGAGTACTTTATTACAGGTATTTAATAGCTACATTTATAAATATAACATGTTAAACACAAGTTTGAATAGTATTGTTAAATTAATTATATATAAATAATGTAAAAATACATTAAAATTATTCTTAAATTGAGATTTATTTAGAAATTTTAGCTTAGGTTCAAGGCCTTTCAGATAGCCCCTTAATAAATATGAGGCTTAAACCAAATGATAATGTTAATATTATAAAGAAAAAGGAGCATAGTGGCCCTATGCTAAGCTGTAGAAGAATAAATATGGAGAATTTCTTAGAACGTGCAAAAATTAGTTTCCACAAGCAACACCGGTGTAAAAATAGCGCTGTGAATGACGTAACACTGTAATCAATTTGTTCCAATCGCTTTAAAGACACGAAACAGTGCCAAATAAAGGACATAAGATGCTACACTCATACTTAGTATATCTAATAATTGATTTTCTAGCTTATTTATGTATTCATTTACAAGATGATCAAGCAGAATTATTATAAATCTTATTGCAGATACGGAAATACCTTATACAATAAGTACAGAAACCTTGAACATCCTATAAAGAGGTCGATGAACCGCAGGCGCAAGAAGCGTTTTCTTAATATCTTGAAAATAGCATTGCACAACACATAAAACTTATACGCCCCATCTTTAATTAAACAATACAGTTACTAGGCTTGTGTTTCTGTTACTTTTGATTACAATTCTTAAGTGTTTTAAGTCAATATAAACTTTGTTCATGAGATACGTGTACCAACAAGATTTACAATAACAAACATTGATATGTTCTCATTGATATATAGTACAAATATATATATGTATTGTTTTATAATATAGTGACCTAAACAGCGCCAATTTTCCCCTAGGCATATTTATCGGAACTATTTTTGCGTAACACTTTTACCGTCTTCTTTGAACTTCCTTAACTAAGCAGCATTCTGTATAGAAGTAGTTTAATTATAATCATGTAGTATTTTAAAATTCCGTAAATTTTAAGAAGTCGTTATCATTTTTGTATGCCCCACTTTCAAGATGTTTCCTCATAAAACTAGTGACGTTATATTTTACATCTAACAACGATGCAACAAACAAATATACAGTTTAAATGCAGTCAAAGCGTGATTATGAATGGACCATGCTGCTACGGATACAGGTAATTCATACGTTGAATATTAAGTATAATTAATAAATAATTAAATATATTGAATTTGTTTATTAAAAAGTTTAATTATATAAGAAATTAGATGAGGAACCACACGTGTTCTTTAAAATTAGCATTCAGTTTGTTTCCTGGATAACATTATAACCTGATCTTTCTGACGTTTTAATTATTATTTATGTAACGAAATCGCTATATATAACGTGAATACAGAATTAAAAATGGTAGTGAAAGAAACAGAAAGTTTCTATAATACAGGATCTTCCATTTTAAATTATTTTCCCAAGACGTTGTAATGTACTGTACATTAAGGCATTGATATATCCATTAAATTTCTCAATGTTTGTAACTCGTGTCATATGGCACACACTTAATTGTCACTCATGTTATTCCTACACGCCCACAGCAGCCAAAATCCAAAAGCTCCTGCAGCTTTACACATTACTCGTATTGAATAATGACGAGTGATTCTGACTTTGCAAACTGAAGAACACAAAACGCTTCTGTTATGGAGCCGCCATTTTTGTTTAAGCGCTTCTTAGAGGTACAGTAGTAGACAACAACACGTTTGAATGCTTGCGGGAGATGAAACTCGGACAGTTATTCCTAGGTCACATACTTCTAGGAAGGCCCTGTATTTAAATTAAGTGCAATAAATCTCTCTATCAAGTGAAAGTACAAAGGTATAATAAGACGGTAATCGTTATTATACACCTTCAAACATGGTTACAATATGCTATCTTCAAGTACACATAATCTGGTTATTGTAGTGTCTTACAATCTACTCAGCAAACAGGTTAATTGGTTATTGTCTTATATTTTACTGTCAAGCCCCTATTCGTATGATTATAGTCATGTATTACGCACACCAGGTTCTTGTGTGATTATAGTTATATATTATTCCATCAAAATACAGGTTATTTGGTTATCTAGTTACCAGGTTAAAGATTTTTCTAGAAATAAATTGTTGTTTTGTGTGTTATCAGAATATATCTTACATTATTTTATTGTTCTCATGAACATACAGTATCATTAAGATATTACTGATTATTATAATAAATACATCATCGATATTAAGGGTCCATCAATGGTATTTGAATGCCATTTGCTAAATGGCGTGGAATTTACCGGATTTTCTCACGTGTCTAATACCTAAATAGGAGCCAGTTCCCGTAGAAAGTCCTGCTGGGTGACACCCCCTTTGCAAATCGCTAGTGTCTCACAAAGGGAGGAGACAAAAGGAACAAATTGAAAAGGGTATTCTATAAGGTCCACGTTATCCTCTGAGCGGCCCTGCAGATTCGCTCATAGTTGCGTACGAAAATTAAAATCCACTTACAAACTCAACGTGACTCATTCCACATTTAAAATAATTAAAATTATAAATTAATTTTTGAGCATAAATAAATTTTAAAATAATAATTCCACTTGTTAATTATACACGTGTAATTAATTATTATTATTATAAGACGTAATATATTAATTTAATTCTACGAATTGAATATAATTGTTACGTGTAATATAGCACATCCACGACAACAGCTATTGTTTTAATGCAAAGATTTTTTTTTATTTTCTCTTTTAACAATACACTTTTGTAAGTTATAATATTGTAAAAATATATTTATGCAATTACTTTTAGTAATTAAACGTTTATAGTTTATTATACTGAAGGGTAGAACCAAGGACGTTTAAAGAGAGTTTCCTTGTTTATTAATCCAAACTGAAAATAACGAAAGAAAGCTCATTTAAGGTAAGATTTTTTAAAATATTTCTTGTAAATATTTAATATAAAAATAATTAAATTTATATATACAGTCGACCCCCCTATAGCACTGTTGATTATTCCGTTTTATATGAATTCCATGTTGTACGAGTCACTTAGATTTTACAAATACGTGTGCTGGGCTGTGAGCGGTTCACGTATTTGTAAAATCTAAGTGACTCGTACAACATGGAATTCATATAAAACGGAATATTCAACAGTGTTATAGGGGGGTCGACTTGTACACATACTAAAGTGTATTGTTTTATGAAATCCAACAAGGGATTCTGGTGTCTTCAATTTATGCAAATTACTTATTAGAAATAATGATTTTGCATATATATTTAAAAAATAAATTAATCAAAATATGTAAAAATTATTTTTATATATTATTTTAAACTTTAAAGATGTTATTCTTAAGGGCCAAACATTTAAAATTATTAAGTGCCCAATGTTATAGGTACTGTACCGTATGTCTAATGTTATAATATAATGTTACAACTGACATTAATTTACTTTGGCTAAAAGGTATCAATTTATATTACATATTTTAAGAGTTATCGACTCTTTAATTAAAATTTTCCCACAGAGTTAGCAATCCCACTGAGAATTAAAATGAGTTCATATCCCTCAGTTCCCTGGTGTTGACTTTAATTATCTTAACTGTAGGACGAATTGTAAATTGTTAGACGATTGTTTTTTTGAATTTTAATTATTGTATTTTATTCAAATATTCACGGGTTCAAATTCCACCGGAATTTCCTTGTTTTGTTTCCATAAATTGTTTGTTTATTAATCAACAGATGGCATTGTGGCATTCTGTGTTTCTTCGTAGGATTTAATTGGGTTAGCCGTGTATTAAAAAACGTCCCTTCTTGAACATCCGGCCATTGTGAGCCTGGAATTCTCGAGGAGCGAGCTAAAGGGCCTTTCTTCTGTCATATTGTTCTTGATCTCTAAGTGATTGTGGATAATCATCTTGAGCTTCTGCGTAACATGAAATCATGGAAGAGTAACTAATGCAACGAGTAACTGTAGTTAGTAATAAACTCTTTAGCAAATAAGGGACGTGGTCAGACTTATATGGGTAAGGGACGTGGTCAGACTTATATGGACGGATCATCTCCAAAGAATCCGTGGGTTTTTTGACCTACTATGGATTCGATTCCGGGTCTTACAGCGATAAGCTGACAACTTAACTATTCGGCCATCCAACCTTCTATATTGAAAGTAATTTAAAACTTTAAGTGAATTTAATAAACTTTTTCGAATGAATTTGAAGATTTATTCGTAACTAAAAGTACTAAATCTTACAAAGGAGAAGTGAGACGGTTCACCATTAGTTTGCAAGTCATTTTTGAAGTTCTTGGTATAAAGAGTCTCAAAAATCAAGTTTAGAGCAAAAATATTAATAATAAGCAGAGATGAGGCCTATAAGAAGATGAGGCCAAGGTCCATGATCGTATACGTGCTTTAATTTTGATACAATCAAGCCCAGATGGAACGAATGTCAGTAAGCAATGGTCCGTGCTCCAGATACAAGGATGCCAAAAAATTAATATTTTATAGTAAGAAAGTGATATAAATTAAAATTTATACTGATAAACGATGAAAAATCTATTTTTGTTTTAATTTATTCATTTAAATTAATTTTATCCATTTTTAGGACTTTTGGAACAGGGAAAGCCCCCACAGTTGTGACTGGTCTGAGTCTTATCTTATTTTTTCATGCTCTGGATATAATTTAACACTTTAAAATATTTCATATCTTAAACAGAGGTTATTGTTCTTTTATCTTATCTTTCACTATCGGCGTTAAAATGACGAAAAGCATACGCGAAATACTCAAATTTCCATATTCGTGAATTACTTACTTCCTTGTCTAGTTCATTGATTTTATAAAATTCATTAATATTTAGTTACAAGTTTAAATATTTTAGGGGGTGTTTGGGGATGGATCCCACAGTGTATTTTTGGGTGTCAAAGAATATTCATGTCAAATTTGATGAGAATACGTTGAACGGTATTGAAACCTTTGCTAAACAAACAAACAAACATATTTGATTTATATAGATTTTAGATTTTCCCACTAATGGCTGAATGGATAAAAACCACTGAACATTTGTTGTCAGTCGTGAGTTTGCACCCGACCAACGAGCTGGTCGTGTGGAGTTTTCCGTGCTTTTTTCACGTGTTTAACGAATTTGATTGATGGAATAAGTCAATGCAACACTTGAGAGATTACCAAATGGGGTGGCTCCCGGGAGGATTTTCTTTGGGAAGGTTGGTCAGGCATAAGTTAGCGCCTAACCTACGACTGGATAAAACCACTAATGCATAATATGGCATAAGTAATATTTGAATATTATTCTCAGAAATTAAAACTTACTATTTCTTAAAGTACTGTATAAGCTTGATATATTTATTTTCAATTAACTTTAACTTTGTTTTTTCTTGAAATCATTTTGAATAATCATCCAGAATCAAATCCAGAAGGATGGTCGGAGGTTTCTTTTTTAACTCTTTCCACTCTGTGGGCACTAAGAGGGCCTCTTTTTTGCAAGCCCATTATGGATTCGACTAGGCTCACAATGGGGCGGCCGGGTGATGAGGGACGGGGTCCGACGTATTCGAACGGACCACCCCCGAAAAATTCCTGGAGATTATTTGATCCGTCCGAATTCGATCCAGGGTCACCCAGGGCGGTAGGCTGCCACCTTGACAGCTCGGCCACCCAGCCGTCCGGATGGTGGAGGTTAGTAAAGGATATTATTTATTTTGATAAGCGACTTAGTTATCGTGTAATCCAAAGATAAGTGAATTTATTTTTAAATATATCAGTGTTACGTTTAAGATATTTGAATAAGATAATGTATTTATTTAGTAAGTTATTCGTGTCTACCAATAGCCGAATGGATAAAGCCACTGAACACTGGTATTTAATCGTGGATTCGTGCCTTGCCAACGGCTGACCACGTGGAATTTTCTGGGTTTTCACATTACTATAATAAAAGATCTTCGCAGGCATTCTCCCTTGGCAAACCATCCAAGTGTCTCGTTGCCTAAACCAAACGATAGGGAGATGATGTAAAATTCACGAGCCCGGGAAACTCTACGTGTCCAACCCGTTTGAACCCAGACGTGAACCCACGACCAACTGTGAACGAGTGGATAAAACCTCTGAACACTGGTTCGTATTCAGAGGTTTTTTATCTACTCAGCTATTGATGGGCACCACTCCCTTGGCAGATCGTCCATGTGTTTAGTTACCACATTCCATTAAACCAACTAAACGAAACCAAAACAAGAAGTAAACAGTATATATACGTGGGTTTCTTAAATATTCCTAAGAAATAGTTTTAACGTTATCACAAACCTCAATTTAACCTTGATTAATGATAAAAATAACTCTTATCTAAAAGTTGTAGTACTTGACAAACGACTTTCAATTCAAAGGTACTTAATGACTAACCGGGATAGAGTTTTAATTGAAATAACTTATTTAAAAGATATATTGATATTTTTATGTTGACAGCAATTCTATTAATGTACAATAAATCTTTCATAATAAATACAGATTGTTATGCAGGTGGCCATTGAGAAATTGAAAATGAAAACAAAAATCTATTAATAAAGTTACATAATACAGCGTTCAGATACTGTATTAGCATCAGATTTCCTCTCTGTAGGATTCTGGTTCGAGTGCCGCTGGAATTCTCAAAAATGACGTTAGTGATTTGATCTGGATATGTTGTGGATAATAACATTACAGTCGACACCCTATAACACTGTTGATAATTCCGTTTTATATGAATTCCATGTTGTACGAGTCAATTAGATTTTACAAATACGTGTGCCGGTCTGTGAACGGCTCATGTATTTGTAAAATCTAAGTGACTCGTACAACATGGAATTCGTATAAAACGGAATAATCAACAGTGTTATAGGGGGGTCAACTTGTAATTTGAAAATTATGACAAACGTTTACCTTCTTGCTCCTTTTATTTTCTACAAAATCTTTGTTAACAATTTTTAATTATTATTTTTTTAAAATTTTTTTCACTTATATCTCCTCCTCGGCCAGTATTCTTTGATTATCCTGGCTCCTGATTGCTCTTCAGGGCTTGCACATACATGAATTACACATGTAGGCATTGAGTATTATGGATTGTGTCTTTACGCTGAGTTCTGAAAGGCCCGTTATAACAGATCAATCGAAAGTGACAGGCGAGAACCGACATATTCCTCAAACCCACCCACCTGGAAACGAACAGGAAATTTTATAAGGAAGTCTTTCTTCTGAATCATAATTTTGTTCGATAGTTTCCTAGAAATATCTCCATTAGACAAACAGAAGGACACATCGAAAAATTGACTAAGTCATTAATTAAAGAATCGATAAAATCATGTAATTAAAACACGATAAATTTTTGCCCGAAGCGATTCCTTTTCAGCAATAACTTCAACTGAACTTACATCAGGAAGATGTAATCCTAAAATTAATTTTATTGAATTTGCCTGAAGGATAGTAATAATATAGTAATATCTATATATAGTATGTGTATTTATATATTCACAGAATAAAATTAAAATTACTAATAAAAAATAATATAATCACGGTTAAGGATATATAGGACACTTTTAGTTCCTATAAGTTGAGTAAGGAAACTTCATAGGAGGCTTCTTACTCATCTCATGGTGTAGTGATTTGAATTTTAAAAATATTTTACAATATCTAAATACTTCTACATACATAAAAATTAAATCTATGTACTGTACTTTAAAGTATGGATTTGTATAACTTCCATAAACTTTGATTATGGTACAATTATTCTGTATATAAGGATTATAACAACTCAAAAGGTTATATAGAAAGAGTCTTAGTCATCTTACAGCACATATTTTATTGATAAATCAATATTAAATGTAAAATACTGCTTTTTATATGTATTTTATTTGGAAATGCCTCTGGCATACATAACCTATAT